CATAGCTCGCGAGATGAAGATTCTCGTCCAAGGGAGAGAAGAATAGGAATAGCTACAGAACACATATAATATGTCATGATCTGTTGATCAGTACGGATCCATTGAGAATAGGTGATCTAAGAGTCATCAGTAGTGGAATCACTAGAAGTGACTTCTGATATGGAGGATGTGGATAATGAAGGAACAGTAACAATTTTGGATGGACAACGAAGAGATCCGTTAATATAACCTCATAGTGTGAAACCTCGATGATTATAATGCATAGTGAGAGACCATGCAGTGTAATTTTCGATATTTGTAAGTTGCAAATCAAGGGGTGGAAAGGTGTAGAGTTCTTTGTTGTCCATGAGCCTGTTTTTTTAATAACATGACCTGAAGTTTTTTTTCTGCTGTTGGATAAAAGATGGGCCTGCTGAAAATGGGCCTGAAAATAAGAGATCTAGATAAAGAACCCTAGATCTCTTAGTGAAGGCGACTGGTTCCAAGGGCGACGACGAGTTCAATGGTTTGAGGAGCCGACGAGTTTGATGGTAGCCTAAATCAACAACTAGGGTGATACGATTTGAGGACGACGACGATTTCGATGGCGGCCTGAATCGATAACGAGGGCAGAGGGCCACAATGATGATGATGACGGCTGGACGACGACGGCGACGATCGATTCGACCACAACGGTGACTGCGAGCACTGGCGGCGATTTGACCACGACAGCTGATGACCTGTTTCGAGATCGGAGGGCTACGATGACGCCGAAGTTGGGTGACAACGACGGCTGAAGCTTGGATTAGGGTTAAGTTGTGGTTTGGTCCCTGATACCATGTTAAGTTAAGTTTGTATACAAGAGGATTAGATATACAGGATGTATATACACAATCACAAGCTAGGAGGCGGCGGCTACACAATAGGATGCGGGTGAGGCAGCGGGTGAGTATGTTCTGACAAATATAAATCCTCTTCTTCTGGTACAAGGCACACCGCCAGAAAGTAACATGATCATAGTTATACTAAAATGAGTCTTGATTACTTTCTATAGTCAAAAAAATAGAAAATATAAAGCATCTCTATTGTGAAATTAATTGCTAATTTTTTTAGTTGCTTTTTTCCCTCATTCCTCATATATTCTGCTTTATATCATGTGGAAAAATTTATACGGTCCGTGTTTGTTAAAAGTTTCTCGTGAAGATCAAATGCTGGATTAATTTTGATGAATCAATCATTCCTAAACTAAATTATAGAATCTCTTTCAAGAGTCTTTAGTTTCTATGAAAATGTTTCTTATGAAGATCAATGGCCCGGCTTTCATCCGCCGTTGTGTCCAATGCCGCTCCGACGGAGCAGCTGGTCCCTTCTTTTCATCATGGAATCCATCTGTAGCCACCCAAACTGAAACGGAAATCCCCACCAAAAGTCTCCGACTCGAGAAGCCCATGCTGACGCTCTCCGAACGAACTAGGCCAAATCCCGCTTCTTCTATGACCTAACCCTCAACAAGGTCACTCGCGAAATCCACGTCCCCTCCCTCGCTGGCCACCACTTCATGGGGTCCTCCCAGGCCTTCCTCTTCTTCTCTCTCGATGAGGACGCCAAGATCCAATCCACCAACCCCTCACCAGGGCCCACCTCTCCCTCCCCTCCACCTTCTTCCACCCTAGCCTCGCCTGTCACGGTATGGGGAACAAAACCTTTCACAGCTATTACAGTATCTCCGAGATCCCTCTCCTTCACTACAGTCACAAACCCATCGCCACTCCCCTTTTAGGCATCGTCATTCTCACCGAGAAATACACCCTCGCTTTTCCTAAGCTAAACAAGAACAATAATAGTAACTCCTGCTCGGCCACATGGACCAAACCCGACTCCCTCTTGAAGTATTTCGAAGAGATTATCTTCCACAAGGGCCGCATTCACGATGTTGACTGGAATGGGACTCTTGCTGCATTTGACCTCGATGACTCTTCTGACCTTCCTCCTCTCTTCTCACCCAAGGGCCCGTTAAAAACCAGGTCTCCCAGCACTGCCTACTTGGTGGAGTCCCGGATGGAGAGGACCTGTTCTTGGTCACTCGGTCTTTGGTCAATGACAACGTTTTAAAAAGCCTCCCCTTAGCCCGCCTAGGCATACACCTAGGTCTAGGTGGTACCTTCGCCGACTACCTAGCGCCTAGCGCCTAGGCAGTACCAAGATTGTCCGCCTAGGTTTTGAGAGCGTTTAGGGGAGCGTGGTCTGCCTATATGGACTGCACCCCTTGAGCAGTGATCATGATTTCATCCATTGTAGCCTCCACGTCCTCCAACCTCATCCAAATCCCAACTACGACCTTTACATTTGCCAATCTTCAAGAAAACCTCCTCCGCCACCTAAGAAATCTGCCTAATTACGCTTAAGATTTCTATAATATCAACATTTACTATCAACTGTAATTAAAAAATAACAAAAATAGGAAAACGCCTAGGCCTCGACTAGGTGCTAGGCATCAATTTCAACGCTGACCGCCTAGCGCTTTTTGTAACATTG